TAAAACAAAAAATAAGTAGGTAATTATTTTAAAATAAATTTTATTTGTAACAAAAACTTGAYTTTTTATTATACCTATATGAAACCTAATTTCAAAGAAAATAGGAACAACAATTTAGTTTGGTAAATGACTTGCAAGTGTACCTACACTTATACATTCATTATTAATTTTTATGTAAAAGGTAAATGATTTAACTCTCAGATTGGATACAATTTTGTTTTTGTTTTTTTAATGAAACAAAAATAAATAATTTATTTATATAGGTAAATAAATAAATATAATAATATAATATGTTAACAATAAATTATCTAAAGATCAAATAATAATTAGCTCCATAATTAGTAATATACCTACAATATATAATGCATATCTTAATGACATTAACTGAATTCCATTTCCTAAGTCCGTACTGCACAACTAGAATGCAACCAATATTTTACTTTTGGGTTTTTGACACTCACATTATATATTTTAATATTTTATAATTAGGTACAATTCCGTATAACAAAAAAGTACAGAGTCATAAACATTACAAATAAATACAATTAAGTAATACAATAAGAATAATAAAAATAAAATATAAAAATTAGTTTTACAAATTTAACTTTTGAGGTTTTTTAATAATCCTATCACTCTTCCTAACCTGTRTGACTTCTGGCTTAACTTCAATAACACCAGACTTAGTATTCTCTACCTCAGTACTAACTTTTCCTCCTTCCTCAATAATACTTTCCAATTACTGGTTTGTTTTCACTAATCCTTGTTTTAATATCACTCAAATGTTTATGATTATCATTAATATTTTTAACTCTATCATAATTTGATTAATATGTCTTTTCCACACTAAAGAATTATTAATTTGAACCAGTTAAGTAACAGGTGACAATACTTTAATAATTGTGCCTGGTACCCACATATTACCAGAACCATAATTTCTGCACATGACAAAATCTCCAATCTTATAGGATTTCTCTCTATTGCCTCWAAAAACATGTTAAGCATTTTCCAAACACTTGTTATATTTATTCTTAGCAAAAGGAATAAGTCWATCGAATTGAGTTGGCAAGGTAAGCCCAATGTGTAATTCTACAGGAGTAACCCCTGTAGAACAGTGTTTAGTACTGTTATACGACATAACAAATCTATATACATCCACTTCAATGCCAGAATTAGGGTTACATTTTTTTATAAAATTTTTGAAAGTACGAACAAGATTTTCAGCTGCACCATTTGATGCAGGATTGTAAAGTGAAGTTTTAATATGAAAAACTCTATTTTTTAGTAAAAAATCTTCCATCTTTTTAGAGCATAAAGATGGGCCATTATCAGTCACAAGTTTAGCAGGAATGCCCCAATAAGCAAAATATTCTCTTAAAATTTTAATAGTTGAAACAATAATTATATTAGGCATAAATTTAACATACACCCATTTTGAAAAAGCATCTATTATCACAAGAAACATTCTTTTATTAACAGGACCTAAAAAATCTAATGAACCCCAAGAGATGGGCCATCAGGCCAAGGCCAATTATGTASAACTGCCTTTGGAGGATTCTCACTATGAATCAAACAAAGTTCACATCTTTTTGTAATACCTTCAATTTCTATATCAATTCTAGGCCACCAAATAAAAGAACGAGCGACACTTTTCATTTTAACARTACCTWAGTGAGTGCTGTGTAATTCAGTTAACAATTCAGTCCGAAATTTAGACGGTATTACTAAACGATGTCCCCAAAATAATAATCCTTGTTCAATTGAAAATTGATCCTTACGGTTAAAATATGGTTTTAATTCTTCAGATACCTTTTGAATGTCAGTAGGCCACTGACCAGYGAAAACACTAAAAAAAACTTGTTTAATAATAGTATCTTTTTTAATTTCATTACAAATATCTAAATCAGAAATTGTTTTAATATTTTCAGTAATTAAATTMATAGAGTAATTTTTGGAACCATATGTCTGACGATGTAAGGGATTTTATAATGCGATGTGATTCTTGTCAAAGAGTGAATCCAACTTCGTTAAAARTAGTTCCTGAATTGAAATCCGCGGAAATTCCAAAACAGGTACCTAATATGTTATATTAGGAATCTTGAATTAAATTTTCAAACTTTATAATATCATTAGGTAATCAACTTTTTTCATGAAAAATACAATTTTTTTTTAAAAATTAGGTTTTTAATCAAATTGGAGTAGACATCATGACTCTACCAGAAGTTGATGGGTTCAAATATGTAGTTGTTGGTATAGATTATTTTTCTAAATGGTCAGAAGCAAGACCTATAAAAGACAAATCAGCAGTAACTGTTGCACGATTTTTATATGATGAAATAATATGTCGTCATGGATGTCCAAAAATACAAATTAGTGACCAGGGAAGAGAATTTGTAAATAACTTGAACGACGAGCTATTTCGTCTCACAGGGACTGAACAACGAGTTACATCGGCGTATCATCCGCAAGCCAATGGTCTGGTTGAACCGTACAATTAAAAATTGTTTGTTGAAAGTATTACAGTAGAATGTATTGCAATGGCCATATATTTTGCAAGGTGTCTTATTTGCAYATAKAACGGCACAACATTCTTCCACTGGATATACGCCATTTAAAATATTATATCAACGTGATGCTACTCTACTTATTGATATTGATTATGAAGATAAAGATAAATATTCTGAAGCAACCAATAGCAATCAGTATGACTCAGATTATCAAGATAATGATTTGGATTTATTTGATCAAGAAACATTTAAAATTACATTAAATAAAATGATCGTTATGAGGAATGTAATGGAACAAAAAGCAAAAAAAAATATAGATGAAGCACAAACACGTCAACGTTATTCATTTTCCAAACGTCATAAAGGTCTATTCACACATGTCCGGTCCGTATSCRTACCGTCCGGTCCGTGTCCGACGTTTTTACATTGTATGGCTTAAATTTAATGTTATCGTTTACATTTGTCCGTTCCGTACCCGTTCCGTATCCGTCTCGTCCGATTCTATTTGTTCAAAACTATGTTTTGTCGGATGGCACTGATACGGAGACGTATTTTCGGTACATGTAAGTACAAGTCAATACTGGTTCGATCAGGTCTGATCAAAAATATAGTGCCCCAAAATCGTATGAACTTTACCGACTCTAGTTTACAAACAGTTGTAACAAACGACAACGGTTGTTCATACCAACAGTCCTCAAAATTTGTATTTTGTTTCAACAACGAAAATGAACAATGAAAAGTTGATCGAAGCTGTGAGACAGCATGAAGTGCTCTACGATTTGTCTCGTTCTAAATATATTGACAGCACATACAAAGATACTATTTGGAAAGCTATTGGAAAAGATCTCCAAAAAGAAGGTAATACATTTCAAAACAATATCATTTATGATTAAAAAAAAGTATATATTATGGAGTACCTAGTATAATACATGATTTATATATTATATATTGTATATTATAATATTTATATTTATACATTTTTTATTATTTATACATTATTTATACTTACCAAGTTGGTAGTACCAACGTAAAACCACGAACTTTTAAAAAAAAAGACTACAATTATAACCAATGTGTATTGTCTACTGTAAAGGTATATCATACTATATTGTAGATATATTACGGTAAATGAAGAAAAAATTACGTATTTTTTTTTATTTATGCAACTTATAATATGCGTATTTTATGTAACATATAATAGGTATGGTTAGTTATAATAAAAATGATGTACATAGGTAAGTATAGACTCAATAAGTGCGACAAATTATTATTTTTTTCTTAACATTTCTTAGACTTAGAGGTATATTGTATATATTATTATGAAAAATGTTTTAATTAGTTTATTAAGTATTATATAATAATATGAAATAACTTAAAACTAAAATTATCTAAAACCTAAAATGTAAAAAAAATTTTACTTTTTTTACTAACAAAATTCATTTTGACACCTTATCATTTTGCCACGGTACAAAACCAGCTGGTGAATTAAAAAAATCTTTATATAATTCCCTTACTTCAAAAGCTGCTTGACGAGCACTGCCACCTTGCATAGGTATATTTTGTAGTTCACTGCTTATAGTAGGAGGATCATTGTGTTGTAAGAAACTTGTAGCACGACAGTCACGTCTAATAAAATTATGAAGAACGCATGTTGCTAAAATAATAAAATCTGCATTTTCTGGCTTAGATTGGATTCTCCGATTGTAAAGACGAAATTTTTGCGACAAAATTCCAAAAGTGTTTTCCACAACTCTGCGAGGTCTACATAAACGATAATTGTAAATTTTTTTATTAAAGCAATCCAATTGTTTTCCAGGATACGGTCTTAACAAATAGGTTTTGAGAGGTAACGCTTCATCTCCAACCAGGGCCGGCTCTAGACAAAATGTATACATAGGCAAAATCAAAATTTGCCGCCCTTTATTTTTATGTCTCTATTTACTCCTTGTCCCCTTAACAATATCTTTTAACATATTCATGTCTACTTCGAGTTCAAGTCACAGTATACCTTATATGTTATAGTTATAATTTATAATTCACAAAAAAAAAATATTTTTATTCAACTAAAGAYAATTAATAAATATAATATATTAAAGAATAAGAATTTTATTTTTATATAATTACACTTAAATAGTTCACATTTTTGTTGTAATTTAAGTACCTTAAAATAATAAATTTTCTTTACAAAAATGTTAAAAACGATAAAACAAAAAGTCCAACAATTTTACTTTTTATTTAATTTTAATTTTTCTAGCTTTTAATGCTGAAAACTCTGCTACTATTTCGTCCATGTCCAGTTTGTTTGATACATCTTTTTCAATTGAAAGAGTTGCCAGACCTACTAAACGCATTTGACATATTTGGGACCGCAAATAGTTTTTTATAATCTTCAGTTTTGAAAATGATCTTTCCGCACTAGCTGCAGTTATAGGTAATGTCAGTAAAATCTTAAGCGCTGTGACTAGGTTAGGAAAAARCTCCACCATTTTCCTTTTGCAAATGTACTTCAAAACCTTGCGTGGATCATTTTCTTCATCCTTCGAATGTCTTTTAAAAGCGATAATTTCTTGATGTAATTCTATAGAATTAATATCAGTGTTTAATCCGTCGTCAGAAGTGAGAGAAAGTTGTAGATCTTTACAGTGTTTTAACAATTCATTTTCATCTTCAATTATTGTTATGTTATATAAAAATGAAAATAAACTATTATGTTCAGATAACTTACCAAATCTTTCAATTATAGACTGAATACCTGTATCCAAAACTTGATTAAAAAAATTAACTTTAAAATGCATTTCTGGATCATTTATAGGGTTGTCCTGAGTTTCATAAACAAAATTAGTCGTCTTACGTCTTAATCTCTGTAAACTATCAAATTTGTCTTCAATTCCAACTTTTTCAGCAACTTCCTTTGCAGTTTTTAATGTTTTTTTAAAACCTTCTTCAGAACGATAATCTTCCAAGAACTTTTTTGTGATGTTTAATTGGTTAATAGCTTCTGATAGATCAAGCGATGGTGATTGAAGTAATTTGATCGAAATATTAATTTCATATAAAATATCATACCATATCACTAAGCACATCACAAATTTAAAATTGTATATTTTTTTTAAAATTCCCTGAGYTTCAGAACGACTTTTAACACCAGATGCATTAGTTAAAGTGTTATCTTCTTCAATTTCTGATAATGCATCACATATTTCATTTAGTTGGAATCTAATAGCTTTTACTGCCTCTACTCTACTTTCCCACCGAGTAGCACTTAGTGGTTTTACAGTTAACCCAGGTAAATACTTAATCAATATATCCCAACGGTGAGTTGATGAAGAAAAAAAATTGTAAATTGCTTGAATTAAACTAAAGAACGACACAGCTTCAAGGCAACAATTAGCAGAATCATTTAAAACCAAATTTAAGGAATGCGCATTGCATGGTACATAAAAAGCTCTAGAATTTAGTTCAAGAATTCTTGCTTGAACACCACTGTGTTTTCCACGCATATTCGCACCGTTGTCATAACCTTGACCTCTCATATCTTCAAGGTTAACTTCAAATTCTCTTAATTTATCCAAGAGGACTTTTGTCATATTAAATCCAGATGTATCATATAGTTGAATAAAATCAACAAAGTGCTCATTTATAGTGACTTCACCAGTATCCTCTGAGATAGTCACAAATCTGAAAATCATGGTCATTTGTTCTTTATTGCTAATATCTGGCGTACAATCGAGAATAATTGAATAGTATTTAGCTTTTTTCAAACATTTTAGTATATGAAGTCTAATTTTTTTCACCAATAAATTAATTATCTCATTTTGTATCTCTTTTCCAAGATAATGGGTATGTATTTCATCGGAGGTTATTCTTCTTATATGTTCCTTCATAACTGGGTCGAATTGACCTAAAAACTCAGTAAATTTTAAAAAATTTCCATTATTTTCTACATTAAGTTTATCGTGAGTTTCCCGTAGAGCTAAGTTTTGATTTCCAAGTACTCGTATTAAAGATATTATTCTTTCTATAACTTGTCTCCAATGTTGAATTTCCGTTTTTATTATTTTTTCATTTATATTATCAATAGTTTTTGAATTATTTATTCTTATTTCTAGTTCTTTCCACTTAAGAAATGTTGTTTCATGATTTGGAGACCGTTCATGTTGTTTTAAAGTTTCAGAAATGTTCTTCCAATCATGATATCCCTCTTTGCCTAAAGACGATTTTGTATCATTAAATAATTTGCAGCAATAACAAAATACAGAATCACTCGTACTAGAATATACTAACCATGATCGTTTTACCTTCATTCCATTACTTAATTTTCTAAAAAAATGATTACTTGTAAATCTTCGACTTGAATCATCTTTTGGGTACGAATTCAAATATATTTGATAAGGGCCCTTTTGAACTAATAACATTCTTATTTTATCACAAATAGCTGGTCATTTCTTTGGATCTTTAAATAATTCAAGGTCAAATGAATCTGCAGGTGTACCTGTCACTAGACTAAGATCTTGATCATTTTGTTCAACCATTTCCCGATTGGAATTACCCTCAATCAATAAATCAGCATCACATTCAATACTTTCACAATAATCTTTTTTAATGTTTCCTGAAGATATACTAAAACTATTTTTTTTATCCGGGGAAAAGTTATCTTTTAAAGTTAAATTACCATCTTCTTCTGAGTTAGATGCTGAAACATGCGTTTCTATTTCCACGATATCCTGCACATTATCACACACGCCAGTAGTATTGTCGCTTTCAATTTCTAAACTCTCTGAAGAAATATTAATATCATCTTTATTTCGGGAGTTACGAACTGGTAGTTGTTGAAAAAAATTTAAAATCTGATCTTCTTGTTTAGATATTTCTAATTCACGTGCTACACGTTTTTTCTTATATTCTGCTCCAGACAACCGAGTGCGTTTCGCGCTGTTCGACATTTCAGATTTCTACTTTTCTTTTTTTTTCAAAATTCTAAGAAAAAATTGTATGCCAGGAAATAAATGTAATTGTTAACAAATGCAATTTTTTTTAAATTTAAATTATTGATTAATTATTTTTTTATGTTATTAATTAATTAAATAAATACAATACTAATTAAGAGGACGCTACACACACATTTGTTGTCTCCGTCTTACAATTACGTAACATAGCAAATTCACGCTTAACAGATCACGTTTAACTCCGTTAGTTTAAAAATTAKAGTAAATTGACCTATTATGAAACTTGATGGCAAGAAAATTTTCTGTGTTCGTATGTTGGGTTTTTACGATAGTTCATTGTTGTATGAAGTTATGCGTGTATAAAAAAGTGTAAAAAATGCTCATAACTCACTTAAAAACTAAATTATCATAAAAACCCAACATATGAACACAGATTATGTTCTTGCCATCAAGTTTCATTATAGGTAAATTTACTCTAATTTTTAAACAAACGGAGTTAAACGTGATCTGCTAAGYGTGAATTTTCCATATTACGTACTTGTAAGATGGAGACAACAAATGTGTCTGTAGCGTCATCTTAATAGAGTATCAAATGTACCCTTTTTCAGACTAATAGACCTGTTTAATTTATGATATAGATTAATAGATTAAGGTATAATAGTGTAGGTGATAGATATGCAATAATACACACAGCTTATTAGCATTAAAAATAATAATCTATGTAATTAGTAATTACTAATAAATTATCATCGCTTAAAAAAGTTAAGATTATCTAGATTTCATTTAATTATTAAAATTCAGTTAAAGTATATAATTATGAATATTCCCTACGTATAAATCTTATATAGTGAACAGTTTGTCAATCGTTAGATTGAATATCTTTAATAATATTCACGCTAAATGCTGATATATGCCTATTATAACAATTATTATTATTTATTATTAAAATTATTTATTACACAATTTATTAATATACTAACAATATAGGTACAATTTTGTTACACAACAATTTACATAAAATCATATAATATGCTATAACATGGGTACGATACCTGTAAATGTTCAGCCACCGTTGTCAGTAAATACTAAATAACTGTAAAAATATTTTAAGAGGTCACGACAATGTGACGGATGAAAAACAAATACTTTTATTATCGGTATTAAATTATCAACGCATTGGGTTCTGTTACTATTATCAGCGCATAACCCGTGTCACCCGGCCAAAAATAAACAATATAATAAATAGCAATAAGCCAATAATATAACAGTGTATAATTGTCACAGAATAATTTTATTATTCTATGATATTATTATATAGTATACTATTGTTATCCATGTTCATCGACGTTGTCATTTCAGAGAAAACTAAATGTTGATATACGTTATCTTAAGTTTGATTTGAGTGTATTATACATTTCTTGTATTTCCATACCAGCCAAAAATAATTTAGTTAATTGCTGGATATCAGCAATTATTTTTAAAATATTAAAAACGTAATAATTAAATTATTTATTTTTTGCTCATCAGTGTTTCAAAAACGGTTTTCAGTTTTTGCGTAAGCCTAAGTATCAAAAGATTACACAAAATTATACGATCCTGTCTACCACCGAGAAAATGCCGCCTCTTACATAATGCCGCCCCAGGCATAGGCCTGTGTTGCCTGTGCCTTCCGCCGGGCCTGTCTCCAACTATAACAAACGGCGCTTTGGTGTTAGTTCCTGGAATTTTCAGTGAGTTGTTTTCCAAGGCTTTTCCTAAATTTAAGTGAGCTAATATGCCTCCATCACTATTTTTCCCATATGAGCCTACATCAACCGCTATGAAATTATTATGTGCGTTAACCAGAGCAAGCAAAACAATCGAAAATGTTTTTTTATAATTATAATACATAGATCCGCTATTTGGAGGTGCTTCTATAACAAATTAAATATTCCTGATGGAAAACAACTTCCGGGAACTAGTGAAAATGTTTTTTTATAATTATAGTAATTGGAACCACTGTTTGGAGGAGCTTGAATAGTGACATGCTTCCCATCAATCGTCCCTAAACAATTTGGGAAATTCCATAACATCCAAAAATCTTGAGCTATTTGTTCCCACCGATCTTCAGTTGGAGGTGGCATGACTTCAGGCATTAATCGATGTACTATAGCTCTACACGTCTCAATAACTATATGATAAACAGTAGAATGGCCTAATCGATAACTAAAAGAAATAGTTTTGAATGAATCTCCAGTTGCCAAAAATCTGAAATAAAATATTAATTCATATAATGCATGCTCTGTTTTAACTTACTGCCTATATAGTTAATACTACAGCTATAATTTAGAGTACATATATTATTTATAAATTGTTGTTACATTTTTTTTTATATTCTAATAAGATAGAGGTAAATATATTAATTTTCCATAATGTGTGTTTTAAAAACAGGCATTTTCTATACATGATAACATTTTCAAAAAATTTCAAATCTTTTCAAATTATTTAAAGACATTTTCAATTTTYAATTTTGAAACTAGCTCAAAAGTATTTTTGTATAAAAATATTTGATTTTCAAATACAAATACGTCCAAGACAGTATTTAAAATACTTTCCAAATACTTAAACCAAAAAGTATTCTAAATACATTTGCTCAAATACTATTTTGTTTGAGTAATCGTATTATATTAATCATATTATGTTTGTGTAATTGCATAAACATACTCGTCGATTTATGAATTTTCATTTTGTATATAGGTATCTAATTATTGCATTATGTTATTTTTATATACTTAGGTCAAGTTTGTAAAACTAGAGGGAACAATATAAGAGACAATTTTCGTAAGTCAATGAGGAAAAATATAACAAAAAGTGGTCAGGCAGCATTTAAAATTAAAAAATACAAATATCAAGACCAGCTTGAGTTTTTAAAACCACATCTCCAAGAAAGGGACACGATGAGCAATTTAGAAAACGATGATTCTGATCATGAAGTTGGACACGATGTATCTGAGGAAATCGCAAAACAAAGTAAGGAAGTTAACAAAAGTATAGAATATGAAGAAGAAGAACCACCATCTCCCCCGGCAACAAATAAGCCCCTTAAAAAACGAAAATYAAATAATAATACTCCAGAAACAGCTTCATCTACTTTGATGAAGTATTTAATTGAAAAAAATGAGATCAAAAAAGACACATTACCAACCGTTTTACAACCACATCCTGTTGATGCTTTTTTAGCTAGTATTTCTCCGTCTCTGAAATCGTTTTCACCATATAATTTAAATTTAGCAAAGACTAAAATTTTTTCCATTGTCCAAGAGCTTGAAATGAACATGATTTTGGAACAACAAAGGCAAACATCTTATACTACGATCAATTCACCATCACCACCACAACACATGCAGTATTCCCAACAAAAACCACWTTCAGAGTATAATAACTTACCTGTAGATACCCATACACAAAATCACCCATATACTTCTACGCCTATTCGTAATACACCCACGGGAMAACAAACATACCAAAACATAGACACACAATCTGTTCAATTGCCATTTTCTCCATCCCCTGCAGTATCTCCAAACCAGGACATGCATTCAGGACCAATTCATTATGTCGGACAAACAAATGGCTCAAGAGTTGCTACCTACTATGAAACATTTGGTGCAAATAAAAATAAGTAAATAATTAAAACTTACATCTTATAAGCATGAACAAAGTATGTTTATGATTACCTAATTATAATTTTTTTAGTAATTTATTTCTCTTGTAATATATAAAATAATATTTACCAAAGTATGGTTGAAAAATACAAATGTTTTGTTTTATTTGTTATTTTAAATTTTWAAATGTATGRTGTGTTBGATTGAAGTTTAAAAAAATTTATATTATATACATCTTATAAAACATATTTTTTAAATGTGCAATACCTTTCTGTAAAATTTATATTATACTATTTTATGAAATACTATTTTAGTATATATAGGTACAGATTGTAATATTTTTTATAATCATATTTACAAATTTCTATTACGTGTAACCCAGACTATAATTTATTAATAGGTTAGTAAAATATTATAATAGGTAGGTATAATATATAATAATGATCGTTTGGGTACCTTAGAGTTACTGCAAGTCTTTCCATGGGAGTTATTGCCATCCTCCAATGAGTGTCTTGTCTTTTTATATCATCTTGAATTTTTAATAATAAAATATCAAAACTATATTTAGACATCCGAAAGTACTCAAAAAACTTGGTTTCGTGATCTACTAATTCATTGTATAGTGTTGTGAATTCTCCTTCAATATTTCTTTTCTTCCATAAATCATGAACCCAGGTTCGTTTTCTTTTTTTTACTACTTTTTTTTTTGCTGCTTCATCTTCATCCAGTAGTATTGCAATCATTGCTAAATCTTCGATTTCTAAATTGTCCATCTTAAAAATAAGGTATGAAAACGCTCTTACACTACAGAAGTTCTGTTTGTCACAACTGTTTGTGAAYGAACATGAAATTCGTGATCACAGTGTAGTGCACAAAATGGAATACCGGACGACACGGACTTGTGTGAATTGATGCTATCGGACAGTATTAATTCTGAACGGACCGGACATGTGTGAATAGACCTTAATACAGGTCACATATTCCAAGAAGGTGATAAAGTTTTCGTCCGGAATTTGTGTAGGGATGATCGGAAAGGAGGCTGGCGTCAGATACCATGGAAAGGTCCATATGAAATAGTATCTATTCACTCTGGAAATACACCTGTACTCAAAAATGAGTTCAAAGTCTTGAAAAAAAATTCATTTAAAAAATTTGAAAATTTACAATGAACCGTTAAAAAATAAAGTTGAAGAAAAATATGATGCTGACGAGTCTGGAAGTAAAAATAGTGACACTGACAGTTCCAAAAACATCAATAATTTGCAAGTGAAGGATATTGAATATAACGAATCAAAACTGGATAAACGCGTATTTAATCCCGTGACGAAACCATGGCAATTGAGACTGAACAAGAGTTTAAATCTTAAAATAGAAAAGTGTTTTACTTATAAGTACCGCGGAAAAATTCTCGGAGAGCCAACAAAAATCAAAGATATAATTGGTGATGGTAATTGTTTCTATAGGTCCATATCTTACTGTATAACTGGAACARAAGATCATCATTTGAAAATTCGAAATTTGATTGCTGAGGTAATACAAAATAATAAATATTATTTTTTTTTTGATTTTATAGTTGTAGAAATTACGTTAATGTGGATAACAAAAAATAATTATTTGAATTATTAAGGTAGAGTTAATTATGGTGAAAAAGTAAAAATTGATTTTTAATGACTACTCGTAAACATTATAAGACTTTAGAATTTTTCAAAAATAAACAATATCTTGGTATAAACAGTAATAAAAAAAATAATTTTTTAATAAGTCTTTGAATATTATGTAAAATAAACATAATAGTACTTATTACCTAGTTATAAAAATAAAATAAGTTATTTAAGGGAATAATCAATAAAGGGATCTAAGAAAAATTAATTGACTCATGTATAGTTAAGAATAGTAGAATTAAAATTATTTTTTGTTTTAATCAAAATAAATCCGATCTAAACATAATCATAAAATGATGACATATTGTATGACCACAATTAATTTACAACATAATATGAGTTATTTTTACTTTATGAGATTTACATTATTTTAGGTAGTGAAGACAAATAAAAATATTGAAAAATATGTTGGAGGAAAAAATAAACTTCTTCAATATCTAAAAAAAAATATAGAAAATGATGATTAGTATTAAAATTATTTATTATAAAAATTATATAATTACTAAACCTTTATTAACGAAAAATAATAATATACATTTCCGATTTTTAGGTGTATTGGGAACTGATGTCGAAATATTTGCTGCTTTCTTACTAAAAACATCAATTTATGTTTATTCTACAGTTACGAATAAGTGGCAAWTATTCAACAAATATATGGACTTAAAGAAAAAAATAATGATGAACGAAAAGTGCATTTATATAAGGAACGTCAACAATGTACACTATGATGCAGTTATGGATGTGTAATTATATAAATTATTTTATACAACTATTGTATAACTTATTTTATTAAGCTTATATTTTACAACATTTTGAAACAATTAAGTTGATTTCAGAAGTATTAATAATTAATTACTGTTTTTTCTATAGYACTATTTTATCAAAAATGCTGAACTTTTATTTATCTGTATATCAAATTTGTTATAAATCGAATTATGCGGTATCAAATTGGGAGAATTGGTAGTGATCCAATAGTTATCGGTGAACAAGTCGACCCCACCTACGAAACAAAAAACGTTTGTAAAATACCGTTGACATTGGCTCTAACATCATGTAGTACAGTAAACGTTTCCATGTTTTTTGAAGGTTCAGATTTCAGATCATAAGTAAACAAGACCATAGGCGCCATGTAGACGGGTGCCCGGGTGCTTGAGCACCCGTTGAAATTATTTGTGGGGTGCAAAGMATTCGTTAGAAACGAACTTATTTTTTTAGAACTTTTGCTATATTTTTACGTGAATTATAAATCCTTTATTTTTTAATAATAGTAGCTATCTTAGGAAAATATTACAATTCACGACTGAAAAAAGTTATGNAGAAGTCGAAAGAGTGAAAAAAAACGCGGACGACGCGATAAGGACCGCGGGCCGAGATAACGGCGGTGGGCCGAGGACGACGTATAAACGGTACGGTTCCCCAAGGACGTCGTAAGAGCCGTCACGGGGAGCGCCACCGTCTTAGCGTTTTATAATATAAGATTATGTTTTTAAATACCAAAATTTACAAAATAAATACTTTTAATTTGAAGTATTAATCTGTGATATATGTTTGTCTTAATAGKTGGAAAATTTCATTGCACGGCTGTATATGCAAATTTAGCTCAGAAAAAAAAAGTTAACATTTATAATTATTTGAGTGTTGCAAAAATGAAAGAAATGAAGGAATCTAGAAATGCACTTGTGAAGATCATTAGTTCAATATTCTATCTCACTAGACAAGGGTTACCTATACGAGGTCATACAGATGATAATTCAAATATTTTTCAGCTATTGAAATTGCGATCAAGTGATTCGTCAGAATTAAATAATTGGCTTTTACGTACAAAGTTCAAATGGATATCTCACGAAGTACAGAATGAAATAATTAGTTTACTATCGCAACATGTGAAAACAAATTTACTTAACCAAATAAAAAATGCAAAGTATTTTGCTATTATTATGGATGAAACTACAGACAATTCTTGTACTGAACAAGTATCAATATGTTTTCGTGTCGTTGATGATAGTTTGGAGGTTTCAGAACTTTTTTTAGGATTTTATAACACCGAATTAACTAATTCTTTGACATTATTTACTTTGATCACTAATGTTTTAACAGAATTTAAACTATCAGTTACAGACTGTCGAGGCCAGTGTTATGATGGTGCTGCAAATGTAAGTGGTCATATTACTGGCCTTCAAAAAAGAATAACTGATGTAGAAAATCGAGCTATATATGTTCATTGTGTTGCTCATACGTTAAATCTTGTAGTACAAGATGCGATGATGAAAATAGAAAAAATTAGAGATTTTTTAATAATGATTAAGTCTATTATTGTATATGTACGAAGTTCTCCCAAGAGGCAGGCTATGTTCCATGCTCTTCAAGCTGAACATGACTCTAATTCCAAATCACTCAGACCATTTTGTCCAACTAGATGGTGTATGAGAATTAAATCGTTAAAAACATTATATGATAACTATGCAATTTTAATCGAGTTTATGCTAACCACTCGCCGTACTCGAACGCCGGGAGAAGACGTTCAAGGTTCAACGCGACCAGTCCTCGTCCTGGATTTCAATCGAYCGACTCAAACCAGCATTCATCGCACGAGACGACCCGCTAGCTGACCACACCTACGCAGCTCAAGCCATCGACGCAAGTAGTCCTTTTTTTCCTTTAAGGGGGGGTAATGTGGTGATACTCCGACGTATCATCACATGCAATATTGTACCAACGTTACCGCCCGTCCTTTTTGCATTGTATAAATTTTAACACACTTGCGTTCGCGAATAATATTTATGCTCCTTGCACCGACCGACCAAACTCGCGTCTCCACGTCCCGTCAACTCGACCCGCCGCCGGACGTACGACCGACCGTCGCGCGCGCGGCGCCACGCAGCGATCGTTGCACCGTCGCGCCCGACACTCCGTCACTACGTTTTTTTCCCGTCGAATTGACTCGACTCTCCGAGCCCGACGCGAACGACCACCGGTGTACGCTCACGTAATTTGTTGTACGACTACTAATACATAATATATAATACTCTGTTATTTCTTTGTTCGACTTTTAACAATAAAATTTTCCGTGACGCAATCGCGTCATTCGACCGATAAGCCAGTGTGTTGAATTATTTTTTGGTACTCCTGCCGGTTTAGCGACCGAACGCCTTCGTTTCCTTCTGTACGAGACAGATTCGCGCATTTGGCGATACTCTCTTGCCAAAAAGTGCACGAGCGTGTGAACAGGTAGTGATAGTAATAGCAAACTATCATATTATTTCATGTCTTCATGACAGCGACTCGCGAACTACTCTCATCGTGCGACCGCGGCTTTAGGCAGAAAAAACACATAAAACTCAAAACATACAATACAATATAAATTAATAAAACACAATAAACAAAGTACAAACATGATATGATAATAATACTACAAAAAGTGCGGTAGAACCGTGACCGCGGTCAACGCGCAACGGACGCGCTATGCTGGTGATACCACCGTATCACCACAGGTCGTATGTTAATCACGGCTATAGATAATATGGTTGCGGAACGGCCTATACTAAACAACGCAATAAGCCGAGCCGGAATCTTATTGAAAAGTCACGTGACTAAAATGACGAGCCTGTCACGCCATCTACGGCATTTGATATAACCACGGCTATAGATATTATCAATAGCCGTGGATAGAAATAATTGTACAACGGCTA